ATAATTTCAGCCCAAACTCATGTTTTTGAACTCTTAACTCTTAAAAGACAACAAGGTATAAACTGAAATGAATCAACTTTCCAGGTAGTTCCTAATTTTTCCCTTAGTCTGGTAAACTTTCCTTATCTATACTTCAGACAGGGAAGTACAATACATTTAGTTACAGGCAGATATATGTTATAATATACAAAACAATGATGCAAACAAAAATGTACAGTGTCGGGATGTAGCTCAGCTGCGCTGTGCCTGCCTGGAAAGCGCAAGGTCCTGAGTTCGATATCCCGTACCGGAAAAAAAAAAAAAAAAAAAAAAACAAAAATATACTTCTGAGGAGCACAAGGGTGGTGGTCACTCAGATGTCACATTGAATTATATGAGAGAAACAATTTAGAAGTTTTTCCTAGCATCATGAATTGTTCTGTAGAGTGGACGAAGTCTATGAAAAGTACTCTTCATATATTTCCATTTATAAGCGTCTCGTTTTTTGAAAGTGATCACAGCATGAAAATGACTGTGCTGCTTTTTAGTGTCTGGCTGCATAATGTACAAGTCACAATTTGCTGTTTTTTCAGGAGGAGGAAGGAAACCTCCTTTACTATTCTATATCCTAAAATCTTCTAATCAGCTTTATACTGTTGCCTGTACAGCTCAGTGAATGTACTTACATCTTTAAGAGTTCAGATATATGCCAGTGAACATTTTTGCTGTAGAGGAGAAAGTAAAACTCCACAGCGGTGATCTTTTTCTTTGCTTTTGAAACCACCATTGAATCACTATCGTTTTGCAGACTTTGCACAACTGTACAGGAGTGGCCTTTCTACAGCACATTTTCAGTAATCCTCTATTTAGTCAAAATGGATGAGAAATCATGTATTAATGTTTGTATGGAATTTTGGGTCCAGTGTAATATTTTTATCATTTAAAAAAACCTATTTGTAAAAACATTTATTTACTGCATGGATATTAACGCACATTAAATTTGTGGGATTTTTGTATATGTAAAGCTAAACAAAACAAAAACCTCTTGTCCTAATTTGAAGTGTGCTTGTTACAGGTGTTTAGACTTATTGATGTTTACTAGATCAAATGTGTATGTTCTCTTAAAAATATTTGTACCTGATGGATGTGTCATGTATATTAATAGCCAGGTTGTAGCCTGGGAACAGCAGGCATTTTGATGGGAAGACTAGCTCTGTTGCTACTCAGCAGCTTCTACTTTTGTAAAGTGAGCTCTGTTGTTTTCAATGGTAAAAATTAAAATAATGAATTTGACAAGACTTGTGGCTAGCCTAGCATGAAAGAGATCTTTTAACACTATATATCTGTACAATTTATTGCATTAGTTTCAAATCTAGGAGAGAGGCAGCACTGTAAACTGAAGTCAAATAAATTCAGCTCTTAATGAATCCTTATAAAGCACCTACTTTATTCACGCAAAGTCCTTACCACATTTCTTTGTGATCTAATCACACTGCCATCACTCCAGTTAAGAGTTCTAACATTGCCACCTCACTGGTGGATCAAGTTCACCTTAAACAGGTGATGCACCTGTTCAGAGGTTACAGTATCTTCTCTGACACCTTGAAAAGCAAGCTTATTTCTCACATACATGACACATACTTGAAACTTCATTTCCTCTTTCCTCTCTCTGATTCCTTTGGGAAAGTGGGGGGGCTACCAAAAATAAGCTATTTTTAAAATACAACTTTAAATCAGATTTTCCTAAAACCAGCAAAGAAGCAGGCTAGTAGTGGGGGCCAGAGACAGAAAAATGTAACCCAGGGCATTTTCTCAAAGAATGCTTTCATAAGAATTTTTTTTCTTTAGTTCCATATTACTAAATCTGTCTCTGGATCATAAAATCATTTTTACAAATATTCCATACTATTTAACCAAGGCACTTAACCGTCTCTATTTGGACACTGCCATCTTCTTGTACTATTTATTACAGGCTAAAAACAGTAAATTTATAAGTTTTAATGAAGACTTTTACATTTCAGGGACCTTTTGGGAGGAGCACAAAAGTGGCCTCCTAGAGAAGGCACCTAGAGAAACATTTCTTAAGAGGGGAAATAAGGTCACATTATTTCTGAAAGTTGAGTGTCTAGCCCAGCACGAGTCTCTAAAAACCACTAGCTTGCTGAAGCTGACTCATAAATCCTTTTGACCTCTCCTGTCTCCCTTTCTCAGCTCAAGGGGAGCTGTTTCTCTTTGGCCAAGGCCTTGTTTGCCTCTTGAGCCTCTAGCAGCCATTCTGCTACCAGAATCCCACACTTAGAAAAAGCCATCCGTTGCTCTCTAAGCCAAGTCAGGCAGGACTTTCTCTGTCCTCCAGAGACTGGACTAACCCACTCAACCTAAAACCAACTCTAACACTTTTCCAGGCTCTTCCTCCTTTTTCTCCTCACTCTCAGGCAGCTGCAGCACAGCGCACTGCAGACCTTCCCAGGCCCAGGGCAGAGCACAGCTTATGTCCTCCCAGCAGTCCAGGTCGAGGTCATAGCCCACCACGTTACGGGTGGGTACCTGGTGTGAGTCCTGCCACTTGAGGCCGCCCAGCAGCAGCACTGTCTCCTCCACCACGGCCAGCCCATAGCAGAAGCGGTCATAGGGTAGTGGCCGCAACCGAGTCCACTGGTCTGTACCAGGGTCATAGCGCTCAATCTCAGAGAAGGGTTCATATCTTCCCAGAAAAGCAAACACTGCTCCCCGCAGCGCTGCGAGGTGGTGCCCAAAGCGGGCTGTGCCCATAGGTGCCTTCTTGCTCCACGCCTGCTCCCCAGGTCTCAGGGCATACAAATCGCGGAGGCTACTTGCTCCACCCTCCCCACTCCCCGCTTTGCCCCCAGAGATGTACACAACATTCCGGTCCCCAATGGCACCAGCGTGGCCATGCAAGGCCCTGGGCAGCTCTGTGGCTACGGTCCAACGGTCCCTGCGCAGGTCATACATTTCCACAGAGGCCAGTGCCTTGCCGCCGGAGCCCAGGCCCCCTACAGCTAGTAGATTCTCGCCCACCACACCGCACCAGAAGTAGGCCCGCGCTTCTCTCATGGCAGGCACTGCTGTCCAAGCGTGGAAACGTGGGTCATAACGGTGCACTTGAGCTGTCACCATGCCCCGCTCATCGGCTGGGGGAGTGGTGGCGATGCCCAAAGGCCTCTCCCCTCCCAGCACAAACAAGAAATTGCCCACAGTACACACACTGTGTCCCAACAGCGGTGCCGGCAGCTGTGTAAGGCTGTGCCAACGGTGATTGTATACATCGAAGGCCACCACATCCTGGGTGAGTTCCCACTCCTTTTCTTCCTCCACTTCTACCTCTTCCTCTTCTTCCTCTTCCATCGGCTCAGCCATGGCGCCCCTGTCCCTGGCTACCACGAGAGGAGCCAGGACCTCTTCAGTTACGGCTTCTCGGGCCCTTCGTCCCCCAACCAGCAAGATGCGGGTCTGGGGACTCCGGATGCTGGTTTGTTCACCCTGCACAAGCGGCTGGCGGGAGGGAGCCGTGTGGTAGTTGAGGGCCTGGATGATGAGGCCCTTGACCCGGGGGGGCAGTACAAGGCCAGAGCCGGAGTACACACGCCTAAGCACCTCGGCGGGCACCAGGCCAAAGCGAATACATTCTAGCAGCGCTGAGCTGTGCTCCTGGCGTTGGGCTGTGGGTTCCTGCTGCAGCCAGGCCAACGCCAGGCCCAGCAACCGAGCCTCAGGCACCCGCGCCACATCAGGGGCACTCAGCACGGCCCTCAGGGACACGGGATTGAGTTCCAGCAGCCCCGCGGGGCCTGCACCCAACCACAGTAGATCCCGCAGGTGGTGCACCACGCAGCGCTCCGCCTCGCCCAGTGTGTGCACCAGGCCAAAACGTGCTGCCACATTGGCGGCGAAACAGCAATTTTCTAGGGCCAGTTGGCTCTCCAGGTAGCGGCCACACAGAACCAGGGCATCGGTGACCTGCAGATAGCTAGCGGCCTCTAGAGTGTCCTCCATGGTGTCCATGGAGAGCGGCAGCCAGGCGGTGTAAATGAAATCCAACAGGCGCTGCAGCCCGGCCGCCGAAGGCACATGCAGGTGGATCACTCGCGCCCGGGATTCCTGGGTGTGACTCTTGAACAAGGCTCTGAAGTAGTCGCTGGAGCATGCCAGGAGCGACTTGTGAGCCGGGAACTCGCTGCCTTCCGCTTCCAGCGTCACGTCGCACAAGAAGCCCTCTGCCCGCAGGGTCTGGTAGCTGGTGAGCAGCGCACCGCTGTGAGCTTTGCAGTAAGACAAGAAGTAACTCATGATGCCCTGGGCGGGAAGAGGCCAGGCGGGGAATGGATCCAGCGGGGCGCAGACGGAGGCATCCCCGGGACACGGAACCTCCAAGACCTTTGCGCGAGCTGCAGAGCCCCTAGTAGAGCCCCATTTTTGCCTGCTCAATTTAAAGCCCGGGGCGCCTTCACCTAGGTCCACCAGTCGCACCGTCCCCCTCTCACAGAAAATCCGGTCTGGGAAAGGTTGCCAAAAGCCCCTGGTAGCAGAGGATGCGGAATGTGGAGTGGTCTGGGAGTAGCGGGGCTTCGTTTCAGCCGCTGCAGAAGCCGCCAGCACGTTGTCCAAAGCCCCCTCCCCGGCCCAGTTTGGGGAGCCCACACCTACGCGCCAGGGGCGGCGGTGGCCGCGCACCATCACCTGGAAGGCCCGAGCTGCCGGTGCACAGCGTGGCTGCTGTATCTCCGACGGAGCAAACGTGCAGATGCGGCCCTGAGTCCAGACGTCAGGAGTGCGGGGAGAGGGCTCTGCTCTTCTGGGAGTGGACGAGGAGGACGGGTTCTGGAAGCACCCGTGAGGGTCAGGGACAAGTGACTATGGAGCAGGAGGGATAATCTTGTTCCTCAGAGGATCAAATCAAAGCTAGGGGGATTAGAAACGGGGGGGCGGGAGCGCAGGTCAGTACAGAGCGTTGGAGACTTGATTGGGCGCTGCACATAACATGCCGGTAGCTCACAGCGACAGGAATAGCGAGCCGCCTAGGCCTCCGCGACGCGCCCCGCCCCGCACCCAAACTGCTGGCTGAGAACCAAAGACGGGTCCGGGGAGGAAGTGGCCCAGGCCAGGGACCTTACCCTGACACCCGACTGGTAGTGGATCACCAGGGAGGGTCCCTGGAACAGGTTGAGAGTAAGGAAGCAAGCGCCCGCGGTTGGAGCGAGTCCCTGGGGTCCCTCTGGCCGGCAGTGTCCCAGGAAGGTGGCCCCGCTGGGCCGGAAGACTGTCGACCTCCTGATGCCCCTGTACCTAGGAAAGTCCTTGGCTCCTCCTTCTGCTTTGAAGAGGCCCTAACTAGCCCGGGGCGTCCTGGATTAAGCAGTGATTTTGCACGCCGACACCCAGGAGGCGGCTGTGTGCAAAGGAGACATTGGCAAGAGCCACGCCCAGGTGAATCGGGCTCCTGGCCAGGGCCCCTGGGTAACACGCCCCACACCTGGACTCACCCACGCGAGATACTGGGTCTTGTCGGCACCCTTCCTGAGGCAGGTCGTGTCCCCAGGCTGCCTTGTTTCACCTTCTGCGTTTAGGAATTTGTTCCTACTGCAGCTCTCAGGCCCCAGCTCAGTCCTCCTTTCCTTTTCTTGTACCAAGCCCAACCCATCCCTTTGCAACATGGACAAGGACATTGTAGCCAATTTGAATTTTCTGCCTTGGAATGACCACATCTTTTAAAAATATAATTTGTTCTAGTTTTCTTTGCCTGATTTTCCCTGGTGTGATCTAATTACTGTCTGCTGCATCCTCAGGGCCATAAACAGATAATGGGCAGTAAGGTTGCAAAACTCAGTAAAGCTGGAGTAAAGTCATTTCTATAAGAAATACCCAGTACAAAAGCGAATAAAATTACCCGGTGCTGAAAAATTAGGAAAGCCTCTGACCATCTTCTGCATCTTGCTCTTAATAACTAAACGAATAATATAGATGTTCTTTCTTGCCAATTTGGAGGCTTCTGTGTGTTTTATTTTCATCTAGAAATGATTTTTTCTGTTTTTCTAATGCCACCCCCTCTGGTAGCCTGTTTTAGGTGAGCCTTTTGAGAACATCTGAAATAAATTGCATTTTTGACACTTTTATTTCATGAGGTGAAAAATGCAAGGAAGGATAAAATTTTGCCATTTTGTACTTTGAGTGCCGTCAGCTCTTGCAAAGTCTGCAATCATGAGTTCGAGACCAGCCTGGGCTACATAATGAGTTCAAGGTCAGCCTGAACTACATAGTGAGACCCTGTCTCAATCAATCAATGGAGTGGTTTCTTCTTGAAAATTCAGGAGTAAGGGGGAGTCATTATTAAAATTATTGGTTCAAAAGTAAAATATCACTGTGGTTTACTGTGCAAAATCTACATTTTCTATTTAAATGGCCTTTACGCACTCTAATTGAATTTTACTAGAAACGATTTCTTAGATCATTTAGGCGAACCTTGCCCTTTTCCTCCAAAATCTCCTGTTTTTCTTTTTGAATAAATAAATAAAAAGGAGTCCTGGAGAGAATACAATTTGTCTGGAAGATTTGGACTTTGAGTTACGGAGTCTGAAGGAGAATCCAGGGCTCCTTCCCCACTATATTATGTGGCCTTGGGTATGATAAAAATAAAATAGTGCAACATGCTTTATTTAAACCAAATATTTGGGGCAATAAGTATTTTCTCACTGTCTTAACTCACAATCATGTAGGTCTGTTTTTTAAAACAGCATATTTTTTCCTAAAAACTGGATCACATCCCATCAGAGCTGTACATCACTGTGCATTCAGGTTAAATCCCAAAAGTCACTCTTAAGCAAAGTTTATATATGTCATCACATCAAAAATCCAATTTTTTATAAGGAGTGTTTGTTTACATTTGTTTATTGCTGGTCTGGCATTGCCAACCATCTACCATGTTTTGCCAGTGAGAAATATGATGTAATGTGTTAACTGAAGATATTTTTATATTAGATGTGTTTATAAGGCCTCATTTAGAAAACATAACTGTCAATCCAGGAAAATCATGATCATTTGGATAATGTATATGTATTGTCAATATTTTCATTATGTGCAATATAAAGTATATTAAATAAAATGTCAGTGTGTATTTAAATTGTGGTAGATATGTCTTTAATTGGTGTCTTACTCTATTGGGGCTGCTATAACAATCTTAGAGGGGTTAATTCATGAACAACAGAAGATTATTGCTCACAGTTCTAGAATCTCAGGGTTCAAGAACAAGACACTAGCTGAATCTCTCTGGTGAGGGCTTTAAAATGGTAGCTTTTTGCTATGTCCTCATGTGACATAGGGTGAAAGGTTAACAAGCTTGTCTGGGTCTCTTATATAAGGACTTTAAACTCATTCGTGATGCCATAGCCCCCATTACATAATCATTTCCCTGAGACCACACTTCTTAGTATTATCACGTAAGTTTCAACATATGAATTTTGGAAAGACACATACAGTTAGATGGTAGCAGTTGACCTTTCTAAAAACATGCCTTGCAACCTAAACTGAATACCCAGTGTTGGGCAGATACGATAGGAGGCGGTCATTATGTTGAAAATTATCTGCTTGTGAGTGGTCCTCCTCTTTTAGATTAACAACTCCTCCAGGGCAGATACTATTTCTTGGCTTTTGCATTTGCAGAGTTTGTCATGGTCTTTGGCATAAGTATGTTGAGTTGAATAGATATGGAAAAGAAGTGAAGGGTTATTAAAAGGAATATGACTGGAACAATTCCTTCACTTTTGTTCTCCTTCCTTTTACACAGCTGAGGATTAAGCCATACCCTGGAAAGGCCATGAGCTTACATTCCAAGGAATCTAGTGGGTAACCACAGGTGGTCCCTGACTGCACATGCTGGATGGTCATGACTCTTTTGAGAAGGCTGTACCACCTCATCCATGCCTCAGTGCTGCCCTAATGCTCCAATTCTGTAACCAGATCAATCCTAGGTGGCTTTTGCAGCCCATGACATATACTGCTACTCTCTCACCCAGACACAAGGTTCTAAGTGTCCCAGAAGCTATTCCTGCCCATTTGTGTGGTTGGACTTCTGCTGAAGACCCAGCTCCTCACCCCAGCACGCCTATTGAAATGCTGCAATTTTCCCTGAACTGCCTATCCCTTGTGAGGATTGTGAACTGCTGTCACCAATTCCTTCCATACATCTGCACCTCTGACAGAACCTAGAATCAAAGACCTGCAAGCACTCATCAAGGAACAGTGCTAGTCAGCCAAACCACTCCATTTTCCCAGGCTTGAAATTCTGTAGCTCTCACATCTAAAATACTTGTACATTTTTTTAAATTCCCAAATTACAAACTTCCATATAGAATTGACACTTCCGATTTTTTTCTCATTGAGTTTATTGGTACATTTTAGGCAAACAGTACAGTTACATTTATCCTTGGGATTTTGTACCTTTACACGATATATCTTGGTTCTCATTTTTTCCCCATTCCCCTGCCCTCCCTTCACTCCTTCCCCCTTCTCCTATTTACAAAGACTTTGCTTCCATTTTTTCCTTTTCTCATTTTTCTTTTCCCTTATTTCCTCTCCCATACCCTCCCCACTTCCCCTTCTCCTTTGAACCTTTTCTTCCTATTTTGCATTGTCAGTTATACAATTTGGATATCATTTACACTTTTAGTTTTTCATACCAGAGAAACTATTTGGTAGACACTTCAGTTTTTTACAAATATAATGTGCCCATTTTGGTAATGGCTTTAAGCTAAGATCTATGTGCCCTACAATTCCTCCATGTTAAATTTATAGCTCCTGTTCTTAGTATAGTGCTAGAGTTGTGCAACCATCAGCACAGTCTAATTTTAGAATATTTTCATCACCTCAGAAACAAACCCCACTCATTGCCCATTGCCCCCTTATACTACTGGTCCCTCAAGCTCTAAGAAACTGCTAATCTACTTTATATATCTGTAGATTCTGGACATTCCATATATATAAGTGAAATAAAATGTGATCATCTGTGACTGATTTTTTCACTTACAATATTTTGAAGATTCATCTACTGTAATGCACTTTTGAGGAAGAAATACACTAATGATAACATTGGGAACCTTTTTCTCAAAACCAGAGCACTCTAATATTGACCTTTTGGATATTTTAGATGCAGTTTTTTGGCAAGTTAGCTCTTTCTCATCTATTATTACTGTCCCCTCGCAATCCAAATATGCTTTCTTCCAACACATGACTTTTGACAACCTTCATGGAAAGCCTATTATTAGAAATTGAGACATTTATTTTATTGTGAACACATTTTTATAAACAATAACATACATACTATAGAAAAAATATTCATCTTCACCTTTCTTCCCAAGACCATTTTTTGTGTATGTGAAATGCATTTTATCTTTATGACATTCAGTTCAAGCAAAAGAAGTGAGTGTGTGTGTGTTTGTGTGTGTGTGTGTGTGTGTGTGTGTGTGTTAAACATGAGTGATGTTTCAGCTTCAGATACAATGTGGTATGTGGAGAAGAGCTGGACTTTGAAGTTAGACAGATCTGGGCTCCAATTCCAGATCTGTCCAACGTGACCATAAAGCAAATGACTTAAATTTCTATTTTATTACTTTTAAAAGGATACTGATTCTACATTCA